ATTTTTTCCTAAAAATCAAAACCTTAATGATATTCCTTTTTATATTTATATTCCTTTTTATAATTAGATTTGTTTCTTATTTTGATCATTTTACATCTAAATATGCAGATTTTTTTTCAATTGAATTTTTTTTTGTGTTTATAAATACTTACTAAATTAAATCTAATATTATTTTAAAATATTCAAAACACATTTTTCATTTTTTAAAATATTTTTTCGATTAACTCGAACATTTTTAAATCTATAAAATTCAAAAATTCAAAAAAAATGATATTTTTTTCGGACACAAAAACTTGATTACGTAAACTGATATATCAATGGTTTAATTTGTGGTGGTACAGTGCGATATTTGTAGCGTTCAAACGTGATTTCCACTATTTGTAAATAGAAAAAGAATCATTCATCAAACGTGGTTTATTCCATGCGCCATGCAAAAAAAATGTCTTTACATTTTACGTAAACTAAATTAGGGTTTGGACTGTTAATTGCAAGATCTTTGTTATATTATTATCATTGCCCGTATTATATATATATATATGTATATATGTATGTGTGAGTGGTGGAGATCGAATCTTCGAATGCCAAGAGACAGACATACGAAAGGAGTAAGTCCACCAACCTACATGGCCATCGCATCATCATAGTTATTCCTTTTTTTGTATACCTATTGTTATTCGATATTATTGTAGAGAAGTCGAGAAATGTTTTTTTTCTTCTAAATATATGCACCAAAAAAGGATATAAACATCACTAGATCATGCATTAAAAATATACAAAATCAATTCATATATTTGGGAATATGGCATCAGTTATTACCCTTTTTCGTTTATTTATTTGTTTTTTTTAAATTGTTACACCTGTTCTTCGAAGATTAGAGTTTAATGATTAATGGTTTGTGCTTCCTACCAAAAATATCTTGTAGCAGTTGATAAATGAAATCAAAGTTGAGTCCACGTGAAATTATGAAGACATGGCAATTGAAAGCAAACCCTAAATTAATTTTCCTTTTTTTTTTGTTAAAACCCTAAATTAATTTTCATATGATACAATCGAATTTTTCTTAATTAAATGAAATTAAAAGTTTTAAGAAAAGGCCTTTACCAACAACAAAAAAAAGGTTTAAACAAAAGATGATGATGATGATGATGGCATGCAAATGGTACAGTGTGGGAACAAAATGCAACACTCATTATCAACCAAACCCATAAAAAAAAAAAGGGTTTATTTTATTTTATTTTATTTCAGTTTTTATTTGTTGCTTTATCTCTGATTTTGTGGTGATGGTGAAAAGGATTAGTGTTCCACCAACTCCAATCCTCATCCTTCAAAATCTTATCCACAATCCAAAAACACCTGCTCACTCGATCTCAGATACAATACAGTATATATATATATATATATGTACATAATTATACATGATTAATTATTATTATTTTATAGAAAACACTGTTTGATTTTACTAACTTTTGCTTCTAACCCAAACTTGGGTGGTCTAGTGGTGAGAGAACATGCAAAACATGCTTTCACCCTGGATTCAAATTCAAGCGTAGAGAGGGACATTCAACTGGATTTCTCCGGTCCTCTGAAGATGTAGTCGAGTCAAAGATCTAGAAATTTTCGGATTATAAAAAAAAAACTTTTGGCTTCTATACTTGAACCCAATATCACCAATTAGACACATACTAATTTTTGAATTAAAATACATAAAACAGAGCAGAATTATATGAATTTTATCCAAGTAAAAAGCATGGATGTTAATGGATAAACTCAAAATCGAATCATGCACATTGGTTATTAATATAGAATCACTATAATAATGTATAATTATAAATAATTATTAATTAAATTTACTCAAATTGACCCACCATGTCGTAAAACCAAATAAATATATATTTGCTTTACCTTACAGGTTACTTGTTTTGCAAAACTCTTTCTTTTTTTTTTTCCTTCATGTCTCTCAACTTGGACTATGCGTGTATGTACTGATATTGAACGACAAGGAAAGAAAGGCATTGCATGGCCAATTCTCATATATATACACCAAAGTTATAAATATTTATGCGTCCTATAAAGATATGATACGTTGTCTATAATATATATATATATATATTATAATGGTATGCTTTTGTGCCGACATATACATGTACATTTGATAATTTCATAATCCTATTAATTAGATGGATTGCCGTGTACTTCTATATATGATTTTCGAGATTAAAAAAACTTGAAATGGTTATTTTATTAGATACTTTGAATCTAAATAGGTATGAAACACATTTTTAAGTGATTAATTACTAGGTCCATTAATTATCATTGTTCTAAATATCAACCCCCATACATACATACATACATACATACATACATACATACATACATACATACATACATACATACATACATACATACATACATACATACATACATACATACATACATACATACATACATACATACATACATACATACGTACGTGTTTTGTTTAATTAAAAACACTAATCATGCTTCCGACAAACATATAAATAGCATTAGAACTAATTAAACGTTTTTTCAAACTATCCATTTGATGCATCCTAGGTAGTCATTGAATGTGGTTTTATTGGACATCCAAATACTAATTTTGTACATTTAAAAAAAAATAAAGATATTCGATTATTAAGTCTAGATAATCTTTGAATGTGAATAAATGTATTCGAATTATTTAAACACGTCGACATTAAAAGTTTGTAGGAATAATGAGTGACAATTTTTAATGATTAACGAGTATAACAATCAAAAGCTTAGTTGCTTCAAATCATCATATCTTCCAATTGGATTCAAAGCTACTAACTCACGCTTATATTTCTATCATTTCGGAGGCTACCAAATGATTTCTAAGGTCAAGTTTGGGTTCTCATTTTTTTTTTTTAAAAAAAAAAACCATAATTTTTATGGCCATGCAAACTAGACTAATTGATTATTTTTTGTGAGTTTTTTCCTTTTTTAGCTGTGGGATCCAATATAATTATTTCAGTTTGTTTATACAAATTAAATAAAAAAAATACACGTAACTCCGATTTACAAACTATTAACTGAATCTAAACCCACTATAAAAACATCAGAAACAACATACAACTGAAAATGCTATAATATAAAAAATATATAAAAATGAATTAGAAAAGAATTCAAATTGAATATTATCCTATGTAAAAAAATGAACAGATATATTTTCTCAAAACAAAATTCTGAATGAAATAATAGGTTAAGAGAAAAATAAAAAATACACAACCCACATTTATGGTCAAATAATTATCTACTAGTAGATATATAGAATTTGAGAAACTATATTCGAATTTCTTAAAAAAAAAAAAAAGTTATCATTCAGCATCTTATCCAAAGAGATGAACCAAATGGATGGAATGTTTTCCTTTGGACAACCATATGGAATGATTAAGATGCCTTTTCTACAAGTTCACTCCAAAAAAAAAAAACTAAAATAACAAATACTAATTAAAGAGGTTAATTAATTTAATTATTTATTTATTTAATAGGGAAAAAGAAAAACGTGTGTAGTAGCTTTGCTTACAATTTAGCGTTAGCCAACCAAGAACGTGCATTCCTCGTATGGCATATGATTCATATGCTTCCGTACTCATGTCTCTCCACACCTTTACTTATACACCTTGTTTTGTTTTGTTTTTTGTTTTTATTTCTTTTCAATGAAGAATTTCATATTTCTTGAGTTAAATGATTTTGAAATCTCCGAATTATATTAAATTTTGTAATAGAAACTGAATATGTAAATCAATTTAAATAGTTAAAAATATTTTTTTATAAAATCTGCTGATCATTACTACTAGTTTATATTACTTTATATTCGTTCGGTTCGATAACATCTATCCTTCATTTCATTAGGGGTGGGCATTTCAATATTTGATTCGGCAATTGCTCGTTTCGGTTCTTTCAATTCTATAAAAATATGTATCAATCGGTTATTATTTCATATTTGGTTCGATTTTGATTTCGGTTTTTGTAAAAAATAATATAGATTTTCTTAACATAAATTCAGTTTTTCAGATTTTTTTAAACATTCGGTTCGGTTCACTTTCAAGAAATTCGTCTTCTAAAAAATATCGTAAGAATTTTTTTAGATGATTCAGTTCAAAAACGATATTGTATTTTTCGATTCCGCACAATATGGCGAACTTCCACCCGTATATTTCATAATAAACCCTAATTTGATAACCTAATAAATAGACAACAATAACTAATGCATATGTGTTGTATAAAATACTTTTGAAAAATCATTCCATTCAATCAAGAATAATAATGGATTTTATAAAATAGATCTTGAACTATATGACAAGATTATTCCCATGTTAGTTTTACATTTTAAAAAAAATAATAGCAAGTATTATACGATTTGTGTCATATTTTCATATATATATATATATATTAATTTTTCAATGGATCATAATGTTTCTCAACGAAAAAATACCAATTATAGTATATAAAAAAAATTGAAATATTGTTGTCAAAGGATCACCCAAAACGTATCATTTGTACACGTTAATTCAATCACAACTATTGGTCAGCACCTCTATTCTAATTGCCGACAATATCAAATACCGTTCGAGTCAATACTCTAAATTAAGCACAAAAAATAACTGTACACCCCAACATTCAAACAATTTATTACAAATTTGAAATTTGATATATAATTTATATAAATATAGCAAGATATGGACTCGACCACCTTTCGCATCCAATGTCATGTCACACTACACATTAATAGTGATAATAGTAATAATAATAATAATTACGATTTAACCAATGGGAATTTAATTATAGTTTGAAGCTTTGACCCACATTTTCGGATTAGAAAAAAGAAAAAGAAATGGCCCACCTCGCCTCAAGCAAAACAGTTCCTTCTCATCCTCGTCACGAGTCTCTATATATATATCTATACACTATAAACACACATATATATACATACATATACACACACGTATATGCGCATATATATATATATATATACACTCGCCTCGTTTTCTGATATTTCTCTGCCTTGCTTTTATCGAGACAGATGCAAAGAGAGCCCATAAACAACAAAACAAGAATCCAAACAAAAACAAGAACATTTTCTTTCTTTCTTTCTTCTTCTTCATCGAATATCTCTTAGAACGGAAGGATAATCTCGATGGCGACGCAGCCAAGGAAAAAACAGAGATCGTCGTCGCCGGAGAAAAACGCGACCAACATGTTCGACGGCTTGCCTGACGATCTCGTTGTCTGTGTTCTCTGCAAGCTTTGTTCCTCCGCCTCTTCTCCCTCCGATTTCATCAGCGCTCTCATCACGTAAGTTGGGATTCTCCGGCGACGTAATGTATCTATCTGAGGGGATGTCGATAACTTTCTTTTTTGTTGAATGTTTTTTCTGTTCGGTCGTATCATTGCAGATGCAAACGATTGAATCGATTGGGTCTGCATCCTCTTGTTTTGTCGAGGGCTGGACCGGAAACCCTCGCCGTCACGGCGAAGAAATGGTCGGAATCTTCTCACCGGTTCCTCAAACTCTGCGTTAACTCCGGCAATATCGACGCTTGTTACTCTCTCGGCATGGTTCGTACACTTCTATGTGTGTGTATGTATACACGTATGTATACGTTTCAGTTTTTGGATTTTTGAATTTAAAGTTCGTTGTTTTTTTTCAAAATCCCCAGATCCGGTTCTACTGTCTCCAAAACCGAACAAGCGGAGCATCTCTAATGGCGAAGGCGGCGATTAAGTCCCACGCGCCCGCTCTGTACTCGCTCGCAGTGATCCAGTTCAACGGAAGCGGAGGCTCGAAGACCGACAAGAACCTACGCGCCGGAGTCGCGTTGTGCGCACGCGCAGCCATGCTCGGCCACGTGGACGCCCTCCGGGAGCTCGGTTACTGCCTCCAGGACGGCTACGGCGTCCCGCGCGACGCCCCAGAGGGTCGCCGCCTCCTGATTCAAGCCAACGCGCGTGAGCTCGCGTGTTCCGTACGCTCCTTCCTCGACCGCGAAGCCGTGGAGGGCGGGTGTCGCCGTTTAACTCCGAGTCGTGTTCACCCTGTGAATCGGTTCCTCAGGGAGTGGTTCGGGTCCGAGTCCGAGTCGGGTTCGGGCCGGGTGGGGTTGACGGAGGGGTTGAGGGTGTGCTCTCACGACGGGTGTGGCAGGCCGGAGACTCGGGCCCACGAGTTCCGGCGATGCTCGGTGTGTGGGAAAGTGAATTACTGCTCGCGTGGATGCCAAGCGCTCGACTGGCGAGTGAAGCACAAGCTGGAGTGTTTGCCGGTGGATTTGTGGGCCGGCGGCGGAGATCCGGGGGCGAACGAGAACGACGGCGGCCGGTGACGGAGCTCTGTTTGCGTAGATCTGGAAATGTGTTTTGGTTTCAGGCCAAATAATAAAGAAAATAGTAATGGAGATTTGTAGTGGTTAAGACATTACACGCAATGGTTTAACATTCCGTTTTGGTCTCGTACCAAGGGAATATTGCCGGAGATAAGATTCTTTGCAAAGATTCTTTTAAGCCGTAATTACAATTTTATAAAGAAAAAAAACAAAGATTCTTGAACTGGAAAAATGAGTTCCGAAAATCGGTTATATGTCAGTTACTCATCTCGCGGATATTCGATTTTAGGGTACTCGTAATTTTTAAATCTAAATTTAAATTCAGATTTTTAATACCCGTAAATCCGAATAATAGAATTTTTAAAATCGGATATTTGCGGATACCCGACTAATATGATTATAAATAATTATATCGTATATCTATTATAATATTTTTATAAAATACAATTATTTTAGGTTAAATAATTTCATATTTTTTAATATTATCTCAAAAAAACTAAAATTATTATTATTTATCTCTTATTATCTATTTTTATTTCATATTTTTATCATAATTCATCTATTTTTATTTTTATGAATATATCTTTAGTTCTTTGAAAATTTTATATATAAATATTATTGTTTTTTTAAATAAATTTGAATCCGAATACATACGAGTATCTGAATATTATTCCGGATATCCATACCTCGGATGTTCGTAAATCTCAAATCCTGAATATAAATCTTATAAATAAAAAACCAATCTTCTGTATCCAAATCCAAAACACTTTGAATTTTCGGTCATTTGTCCCATACCCACTCCTAATTGGCACAACGTAGAAGTCAAAATTGTTTTGGAATCCGGAATTATCCCAAAGCTTTTAAGATCGAGTATTCAAAAACCATATGTTATTATCCTATTAATTTCTTAATGAAATTATTGAAATGCGATTCACAGCTTTTAATGGTATTAGTTTTTATTTTGGACTTTTTTGTTTTAATTTTTTATTTTAATTTTTGCTTTTGAATTTTAGATTTTGGTTTTTGGTTTTATAACTAAAAAAAGGAGTTTTTTAATTTTTAATTGATTTTTTATCAAATTGGGTTTTTCAAGTTTTTAGAAAAACCAATTTTATAAAAATTTGATTGGTTATTTTTTTTAAATCCAAAAACTCTACAAATTCCAACATTGCTAGTCTATATTTAAACCTATTTTTTAAAAAATAGGTTTAAATATAGAATAGTTTGACTTTACTTTACACTTATTTCAAATATCCGTTTGGATTAAAATAAACGAATGAATTTCCAATGAGTATAATCTATTGACCGGAGCATCTTTGAATAAATGGCTCACGCAAAACTACTAATCATCCAAACATTGTAAAAAAAAAAACTAAATACTCAAAATTGAATATAAATATCAATACAAAACCAATTAATTTCAAAATGTAAGTATTTGAACTTTATATTATGATTATCACACTTTATGATTCGATAATTTTATATTTGTATGTCATTATATTGATAATTACAAAAACAACGGACTGAAATGATAAATTATACTATATATCATATTTTAGTCATGCTCGAATTCGTGTAAGCAATATAATGAATAACTCTAGTAACATTTAGGCTGTTTTAATACGATTAATTAAAAAAGTACAGTTAATTCAAAAAACGCAAGAGAAAAAAAAAGGAAATAGCAGTTCATAAAAAAGAGATGACGGTACATTTAGTATAATAAATGTCGATTTACCTATATTTAACTGCTCATTAACTGCATTAAAAGCATTTTAATAGCTCTGTGCCGTAACCAATCGGGATTTCATGGTCGGATTTGGGCCTAAATAGCTATTGGATCGATAATTACTGGGCCTAATTCATAATTAATGGACTAATAATTTTGATTGGGCTTCTTGGAACTGTTTTATCACCCAAACAAAAATGGTAACTTAAACAAATAATCATTATATAAAGAGTTTAATACGCACAATTTGTAAAAGAATAGATCTTAAATACTTTTTTTTTCCATGATAAAATACAGATTGTATTTGATAAAAAAATTCTAAATATGGAAAAGATACGTATCTAACAAACAAATCAATAACAATCAAAATAAATTTAAAAATTATTATTTGCCACTCTATCTTCTACTATAATTAAAAAGAACTTAATTTGATCACAAATAGTATATGTATGATACAGATGAGATGATGATGATGATGATGATGATGATGATGATGATAATAATAATAATAATTCATTCTCAAAAAATATTATTTTATAGGAAAAAATCCCATATAACTATCCAAACTCTTTAAAATATGCCAAATAAATACTTTAATTTTTAATTTGATAATATAGTACTCTAAATGTTAAAATGTACCAAATTAATTCCTAAAGCTATACCAAATTAATATATAAACTTCTAAAATTACAAGTAGTTTCCAACAAAAAAAATTTTATTTAGACGGTTTTTTTTAACAAATATATAAGAATTTGTTTAAAAATTATCTTTAATTTCAGAAGTTGAGGTATTAATAAAAAATATTTAAAGTATTAACAATTTATTATTATTTAGACGGTTATTTATTTTATACATTTAATAATTTATATATTTACATGGGATAATATTTTACAGATTCAGTGGAAATTTGATTTATATGATAGAAGTCTATTTGCATTCACATTCCAATGACAGTGGAATTCTCCACGGTATCTATCTATGAGTTTGACCTTCTTATTTAAATATGAATAAATAAACCCTAACGACCATCCACACCATTTATTGAATTTCACAAGTACTTATCTTCTATTTTATTTTATTTTATTTTATCTGATAAGACAAACCAGATCCCTTCAAGAGATCACAAGAGAGACAAAAGCGGCATTTCACTCTCTTCTTTCTACTCTGGGAGTCAGAGAGAGAGGGAGAGATTTTCGCTAACTCATTTCTATCGAAACAGAATTTCAACCTTCTCGATAACTCTGAGAGGATATTATCGAGGATCGTAAAATAAGGGACCGAAAAGAATCAAACTTTGGAAGATTCCCGGATTCCTCCTATAAATCCTCGTCCTGGGTTTTGCTTCTTCTTCGAAAAAGTTTCGATCTTTCCCCGCAGAACAAGGGACAGAACGCAAGCAGAGACAAAACGATGGTTAGGGTTTTCTTTGGGATCGTGTGTCTTCTCGCCGTGTGTTGGGTTCAGACCAATGGACATGGCGATCAACCACTCGCTAAGATCGATATTTACAAGACGAGCCTTGCTCTTCATAGCTCCGCAGCGATTCACGCCTCTCCTCGTGTTCTTGGTTCCCAGGTTTCTTACCCTTGAAGCAAGCTTTTTACCTTTGATCAGTTTCATCTCCAATCCTTGAGTTATTGTCTTTGATGTTTACTTGTGATCTCAAATTCGTTTCCTTTATATTGTTTTTATGACGTTTCTCATTGGAAAATTGAGGTAATCAGGGTTTTGTTCTGGGGATTTGGCCGTTGGAAACTGGCTATTTGATCCAGGAATTGAGTCTCTTCTCTTAAATCATACCAAAGTTGGGTATTGATTATTTGAGTTTTGGCTATTAAGAATGTCAAATCTGAAATATGAAACTTTTCTTGATTACAAGCATTGATCTCAAAACTTGGATGGCATGGACAGCATGATATGATGATGAGTTTTGATATAAGAGATTGATCAATGGTCCTCGTTTGCCTGTATATAGGGTGAGGATACCGAATGGGTCAATGTCGATATTTCAAACCCGGACCCATCTGAAGATGATTGGGTCGGAGTCTTTTCCCCTGCGAAATTCGAGTATTTCTCTTCAAGCTCTACTTATGATTTGTGATGTAACCAATGTTGTGTTAAAAAAAACGATTCTTTCTGTGTGTTATAGCTCGTCTTCCTGCCCTTCGACAGACGGGAAAGAAAAAGCTCCCTACATTTGCTCCGCTCCCATCAAGGTTTGTGAATCTCGGATCTGTTGCTTTTGTGATTTTCTGAAGTGAGGGCATGTCGGATAACATTTTTTTTATATTGCATAGTACATGTTTGTGAAGACCAATCCGGATTATACGAAGACGGGGAACGTGATCTTGAAGTTCCAACTCATAAATCAGAGAGCAGATTTCTCCTTTGCTCTGTTCACAGGGGGAGTTTCAAATGTCGGTTGATTTCGATTCTCAATTTGATATCTTATGTGCAATACCTAAGAGAACTTATTGATCTTTCTCTCTGCCTCAATGCTGCAGCCAAAGCTCATTGCAATATCAAATCCCGTATCGTTTGCTAACCCTAAAGCACCTGTTTACCCACGTCTCGCTTTAGGAAAGAATTGGGATGAGGTAAGTTTTCATTATGTTGCTTCTATCCCTGGTTTTGTACACTGAGGACACCTAAGAAAGATCCAAACTTTGAGATCTGTAATGTGCAGTGATGATTTTCTGTAACACACCGGTTTTAGGCCAAGCTTTAGCATATCTGATATATTCATTACACATGCAAGTTTAGATCTTTGACAGAAACTTGCTTCTGTATGTTGTCTGGTAAGAGAATTAAGACTCGGTTATTTTGAGCACTGACAGATGACGGTAACATGGACGAGTGGGTATGACATAACCGAGGCTGTTCCGTTCGTTGAATGGACCACCAATGGACTTCCAAGTAGAAGGTCTCCTGCCGGAACCTTAACGTTTAAGAGAAACAGCATGTGTGGTATGTTTTAGTTCCGATTATTCTCGGGATCAGACCATGTTTGATCTTTTCTTTCACAATGACAAGAACCCTAATTGATCTATGGATTTCATTAGACAATCTCCTCCGGTTTTGATGACTATTAGTAAGCTATACTCTGCTCTTGAAACCCGATGGAGCATAACTCTAGTTCTTATGATATGATATGTAGGTGCTCCTGCTCGCACTGTTGGATGGCGGGATCCGGGTTTTATCCATACCGCTTTCTTGAAAGATCTTTGGCCAAACCGCAAGTATGTTATCTTTAACCGATAGTAATGAACACATGTAGATACAATTGTTTAACCATGAACCATGGGGTTGTTTTTCCAGTTATACATACAGGTTAGGTCATGCCTTGATCGATGGATCGACAGTTTGGAGCAAGAATTACAGTTTCATGTCATCTCCTTACCCGGGTCAAGAATCGTTACAACGTATTGTGATATTCGGTGACATGGGAAAGGTACACCATCTCGGTTGATCTCTTTAGCTTCTTTGATCTCTCGGGTTATCGCAAAAAACGGTTCTGTTCGGGCATGCGTTTCAGGGAGAGAGGGATGGATCGAACGAGTACAACGATTACCAACCCGGAGCCCTCAACACTACAGACCAAATCATCAACGACCTGAAGAACATCGACATAGTTTTCCACATTGGAGATATCACTTACGCAAATGGGTATATCTCGCAATGGGATCAGTTCACGGCACAAGTTGAGCCCATCGCTTCCACTGTCCCGTACATGATCGCTAGGTCAGTTTTTCTTATCTCCCCCTTCTCGTCCATTTCTTTCCAAAAGAAGGGTTCATGCGCTTGTCCCTATAAGCTCCGTTTTCTGTTTCTTTCTCTTCAGTGGCAATCACGAGCGAGACTGGCCAGATTCCGGGTCCTTCTACGGCCGTCAGGACTCCGGAGGGGAGTGCGGAGTTCCCGCCGAGACTATGTTCTTCGTTCCTGCAGAGAACAGAGCTAAATTCTGGTAAGAAAAAGCAGCAGACAGCCATTTCCCATTTCCCATTTCCCATTTCCCACCACACAGATCTTTTGGTGAAATGATGGTGATGATGATGATGCAGGTACTCGGCCGATTACGGGATGTTCAGATTCTGTGTAGCAGACACCGAGCACGACTGGAGAGAAGGGTCGGAACAGTATGAGTTCATAGACCGTTGCCTCGCATCGGTGGACAGAAAGGCTCAGCCTTGGCTGATATTCATCGCTCATCGTGTCCTCGGCTACTCGACCAATGACTGGTACGGCCAAGAAGGAGCCTTCGAGGAGCCGATGGGAAGAGAGAGCTTGCAGAAGCTATGGCAGAAGCACAAAGTCGACATCGCTTTCTACGGACATGTCCATAACTACGAGAGAACATGCCCCATCTACCAGGTTTCCACCCATATATCCATGAACGAACGCATTTAAACAGTAAATAGCCATTGGAAACGCTTGCCCAGATGAATTTTTTTTTCGGGTTCTTTTGTTGCTGCAGAATCAGTGCGTGGACGATGGGAAAGATCATTACTCGGGACCCTTTAAAGGGACGATTCACGTGGTGGCGGGAGGGGCGGGAAGCCATTTGTCGTCGTTCAGCTCGTTGAAGCCGAGATGGAGTTTGGTGAGAGATTACGACTACGGGTTTGTGAAGATGACGGCTTTTAATCATTCGTCGCTTCTGTTCGAGTACAAGAGGAGCAACAATGGCGGAGTCCATGATTCATTCTCCATCTCCAGAGATTACAGGGACGTCTTGGCTTGCGCTCGCGATAGCTGCGACCCCACCACTTTAGCGTCTTAGATCTCCCTGCTCTTTAGTTAGGTTTGCTATTTTGGTTTTTGGTTAGGTTCGGTTATATTCGGTTTAAAAAAATTAATCATTCGATCTTTATATTGCATTTTTATGTATTTTTTTTTTATTTTTTAAATAAAATTAAGGATGGTTTTATATTTTTATGACTACTATTTTGCCTATAGTTAGGGTAGTTTAATTCAACGGTAATTCGCAACATGCGATTGAACTACATAAAACTTTTTATTTTTAAAACTATAATGTCGTTTTTGGTTTTGTCAAGGATGATGACAATTTTGATTGCAAGATCTCCATTTTCATGTATCGGTTTCATTAGTGGTTGTGGAAAAGAAGAGTAAAGAAAATAGATGAAAAGATAGAAAATGATGAGAATTTGATAAATAAATATATTTATATAATGTAAAAAGTAAACTTTTGACATAGTAATTTTTTTTTAACATTTGCAAAGAAATAAGAAAAAAGCCGTACAATGATAAGTCATGTTCCAAATAAAAGGGGATAAAAGAGAAGAAGATATAGGCCTTGAATGGTAGGAGTTTTTAGAGTTTTTAGAATTCAAAAACAAAAAAAAAACAACATTCAAGTTTTTACAAAATTACTTTTCCTAAAAACTTGGAAAGCCATTTTAGTGAAAAAATCAATGAAAAACCAAAAGCTACTTTTTTTTTGAGTTTTCAAATATTATAAAATCCAAAAGCCAAAAACCAAAATTCAAAAACTAAAACCAAAAAGCCAAAATAAAAGTATCTCCATAGATAGGATCTTTCAATCCTTTCCACCAAAATTAGGGTTTTATTTTTGTGGGTTCATTCTCGGAGAAATTCCACAGACGGAAGACGGGTTTCTCTGCTTCTGATCGTCTTCTCATCCGGCGACTTGCTTCAGCTCGAAACCAGTAAGCTCTTTCCTCCATTTCCATGAACAGTGCTGTCATCCAACCATTTTATCCATTTACGGTAAAGGACAGAAATTCGGTGAAGCCTCTTCGGTCTCTGTGAGAAAAATCTGTGACGCGCAGCACCGCCAGACGTTATCAATGGCGACGACGATGAATCATCCATGGGTCGGCGGAAGAACAATCTCTGTCCCTCTCTCCTTTTGTCCGAACCTTTCAAATCCGGAGTTCTCATCCATCTGTAAACCCTCAAATTCCCGAGTATCTCTCGGCCCATCACCTCTGTTCGCTTCTTCACGTTCACTCAAGAGGACCCCAAAAAACTCGTCTCCGAGTTTCCGGTGCAGTAGCGGCAACGCTAATGGCGCGAATCCGGGTTCCTGTGGGGAAGAATGGGATTGGAATCGATGGAGCCGCCATTTCTCCGAGGTCGAAGATGCTGAGAACTTAGCTTCTCTTCTCAAGGTGTTCTGTTTTTGCCCTTTTTTAATCCGTTTATGGTGTGCTATCGATTTCGATTGTTTATATAATTCCCTCGCAGTTTCTAACTTTGGAGATTTGGGGCTTTGGTTAAGTGTTTATCTCATACCCTTTTGGTGTCTTGGGGATTTTCTATGTTGTTTAAGATATTTCATCACTTGATTCTTTAGGGTTCACTGAATTTACATGGAAGTTTGACAATTTTAGGAAAAGATATCATACGAACTGAGGCAAAAGGAAAAAAGAGATTGAAGAAACGAAGATAAAATCATGAAAAGTTCTAAATTTTTTATGGGGCATTGATTATGAAGATGATTAAAATACTTGTTTTCTCCTTCAAATGGGTGCCATGGTTCACACAGTTTCAACTTGAAGAAGCTATTGAAAAGGAAGACTTTCAGGAAGCAGCTAAGCTAAAAACAGCCATTGCGGAAGCTACTTCGATGGATGTTGTTGCTGAGGTCATGTCCCAGTTACAGGTAGATGTGTTTTTGAAGCTAAAAAAGTATCGGATTATGTCTCGTTAATTTGGAACTTATATTTGACAGTTTATTTGCAGACTGCAATACGTGAAGAGCGTTACCACAAGGCTTCCCGGTTATGTAGAGAGACAGGAAGCGGACTGGTAATCTCTAGTCATCTTCTCTGTCTCCTTCTCAAGTTTACTTTTTTTTTTTGTGTGTCAGCGACTGGACAAGAGTATATCCGTTGCGTTAATTGAAGGAATTTATATTTTCCAGACTGCAAATGCATGGCATATGCGAGTTCTACTTTTGCAGCTTTAAGACTGTTTCTTTATACCACGGAAATATCAGTGAATTGAATAGATAGAATAGGATAGATTTTCTGAAAATATCATCCAATATTCCTGCAAGGCTGCAACTGACCCTTGATAATCTGCTCACTCATAAATGTCCATGAATTCATTTGTTTCCAAACCTGTTAAGGTATTAGAAAAAATAAACCGAGGTGTATAATTCATTTGACTTTAAATAATTCGGTAAGTTTTTCATTATAGTGCCAATCATAGCCTAAGAGATCAATTGCACAGAACTGCAATGATCTGTTTCCGAAAGTACTTCGGTGTTATGTTTCATTACCGTGCATAGAGATACCCACTAACACAAAGTAGAAACCTAACTGTCATGGTTTCATCAGTCAACCACCCAAGCATTTGAAATAAAACGAATCGTATCGTACCCGATTTTTACTTGGTCAACTTATCAAGAATTGCAAGTGTTATCGTTTTACTACGAAGAAGTTCTGGGGGTTACGAAGGAAACTTCAAGTTCATATTGGTCATGGGTTGAGAACGGGAATTGAACTCTATGAGATCTAATCTCCCGTTGTAATTCAGTAATCGCATGGGTTTTATCTGGGACTTGAACTACTTACGGTGTTTACAAAGCTTATACAATTTTTATGTAGGTTGGTTGGTGGGTGGGTTATTCTCCAGATTCCGAGGACCCATTTGGCAGAATTGTACATATAACACCAGGTGTTGGAAGGTTTGTTGGCAAGAGTTACAGTCCAAGGTTAGATTATTTCGTGCTAGGTATATGACTAATTATCGATTTGTTTGTGGAAGTAGTTGTAAGTTGTAAGTTGTAACTGATGTTTCATACAGACAGTTGGTGACTGCAGCGCCTGGGACTCCTCTGTTTGAGATTTTTGTTGTCAAAGGAGCTGATGGAGAATATGTTATGCAGGTAAGCTAAGAGATAGCAGTTGGAAAACAATTATAGTTTTAGTTGTTAGCCTTTTTATATCTCATGTGAAGATTCTTGAGTGTGTATTTACATTTATGCTCCCCCTTTCCAAAAGTGATGTTTAATCCTATATGGTTAATTTGGCGATGTATTGTTTAGCATTTCCCTCGAACTTTATGTGCATTCACATATCTGTTTTCAGGTGGTTTATCTGCAACGGGCCAAGCAAAATTCTTTAATCTCCAAGAATTCATCTTTAAGGGCGCAACAAAGTTCGTCTGATGCCTCAGCCGAGAAACCATCCATACTTGATATGCCAGGAAGTGAAGGAAAGGCAGATAAAAATGAAGATAGAGTAATGAATGCTGAGGAAGCAACTGAAGAGGGGATTAAAAGTGTAATAAACTTTCTAAAAGATAAAATCCCTGGGCTCAAACTGAAAGTCATGAATGTTAAAGTCACTGAGGAAGAAATCATAGGCGATGATAATATTGAACATTTGGCGGATGATGATGACGTTGAGGAGACAAGTTCCTCTGATGAATCTGAAGACACCGATGGTGCAGAAGAAATTACATCTATGGATAGTGCAGAAGATGCTAAGGATTTAGGCACAAAGCTTTTCATTGGGGGTGTTCTCCATAACAACGAGGACACTTCTACAAAGG